TTTTATATTTTGAGAATTATTTTCCATCATGCTTAAGAATAACTCAATAAGGCATTTGAAAGTGGTTTTATTATTTAATGAGTGTCAAATGTTTTTTCAATAGAATATTTAAGGCGAATACCTAAATATAAATGGAAAAACACTTGTAGTGGGACCCAAAATGTTGCCGAAACTTCATCCACAAGAATATTAACAAAAAGTCTTACATAAATTTTCTAGACCACGGTGCGTTGCAGTAGCATATAGATTTTATGAAATTTTTGTACTATTTTTCAAAACCGCCTAAAATTGTTATGACCCACATTTTTCGAAAATAATTCAAATTTTTTATTTTTGCTAATTATTTTTCGTCATGATTAAGAATAACTCTATATGACATTTAAAAGTGGTTTTACCATTTATTGATCCACAAATGTATTTTTAATAGAATATTTAAGCTAAAAACATAAAAATAAATGGTAAGCAAATTGTGGTGGGGAACAAAACAATGAGAAACGAGAATCCTTCCTCAAGAATATCAACGAAAAGTCTTATATAAATTTTCAAGACCTCAATGTGCACTAAAGGTGTAAGTATATAGATTTTTGTACTATCTTGCACAATCGCCTAAAAACCATGACACCAACGTTTTTTTTTTTGAGAAAAATGCAAATTTTTATTTTCAGAATATATTTTCTGTGGTCAGTAAGAAAAATTTTACAAGGCATTTGAATACAGTTTTACCATTTGTTGAGGCACAAATGTACTTTTAATATAATACTTAAGCTGAAGTTGGAACATATATGGAAAACAAATTGTAGTGGGAACCATCATTGCCAAAAACGGTCTATTCTCAAGAATATCAACGGAAAGTCTCACATGAATTTTCATGACCTCACGTTGCGTTGAAGGTGAAAGCATATAGATTTTATGACGATTTTTGTACTATCTTACATATATTTTCAATAGAATATTTAAGCTCAAACTTGAAAATAACTGAGTTGTGGGACCAAATTATTGCCAAAACTGGATTCCATCTAAAAAAATATCAACAAAAAGTTTTACATGAATTTTCAAAATCTCACCGTGATAAAGCATATAGATTTTTGTACAATGTTGCAAAATCGTAAACCGAATTCTAGTATGGTAAGTTTTAAGCAATTAAGTTCCGTTTTAGCGTACGGATTCTACTCATCATAAAGCTACGCACGCATCTCTTCAGCCATATTCGAATAAAATGTCCAAAATTATACAGATTGCTCGCTCATGAGCTTTAAGCGATATATGCTCGACACATTACACTATATGTTTGCTTGTCTTATGGGGTGACAGTCTTACAGAGACCCCATGGCCGCTTGCTTCCAAAGTTATCTTTATAAACTTGATGATGCATGGCAGTAATAGTATTTATAGCTCACCCCCTCAAACAAGTTGTGTTTGTTGGTTGACATTGAAAGCAGCTAGTGTCATATTTAATATTGCAAAAAGTCACCCAAGTTGATTTATTATATATATAGCTTATGATTGACTTCAATCTTATATAGTTACCATATAAAGTAAACGGCTTCCTATATAATTTAGGATCACACCACAATACTTTGTCATTTAGAGTTTTTAGATTCAATTTTAATAATTGTCCAATTTCTTTGACAATCGTCGGATTGGATATTAGGGCTCTAATTTTCTTTGATAACCGTTAGACGGGGTCTAAAGTATCGTGTAGTTCTCGCATAATGTAACATAAAACATGTACTTATGTTAATAGGTCAACCAATATTTTTTATCAAGTTTTTTGATTAAAAAAACATATTTATACTAAGGAATGGTGGAATAAATTGGTTTTGAATTCGTCGATCATTCACTAGATTAGAACTTAAAATTTTTCATTTACAAGTGAAGAAAAATATCACTAAAATATTATCTGCCAAGTTAAGCACTTAAAGTTCACATATATAGCAATATGCTCATGCAATTTGTTCTTTAATTAGTACATTTGTATATTATATTTTGTATTTATATTATCGAAAGGATGTAAGTTTATTTAGATGCATGCATGCGGGAGCAATCCCATCGCCAAGTGATCATTTGGCATATAATTGAATTTTCCATATGCTTATTGTGTAAGCGTTTGCTAGGTTCGATTTTATAAATACTAATTATTATGTTTTTATGTCGAATAAGTTCGATTTTAGCTGATAGAAAATAATTTAATTTAATGAAAGAATGTACTAACTAAGAACATAAATGGAATCATGCGCAGCATACAAAAGCAAGCCTTTGCCTATAACTTTATATACACGTGCGACATTATGCGACAATACCTACAGCTAAACAAAGCAACATGTTAGTGGTTGAAATCTTGAACTAATTATATATAAATGATAGTTATGTCTTCTGATAATACTAAATTTACTTTTTTATATATAAAAGTAATGATAATTAAGGGAAGAAAAAGAAGTTGAGGCAAACAGCATAACGTACTCTATTATTTCATACTTGTACCTGCAGCAGCAGGCTGTATCAATCAGAGTTGCACATGACCTAATCCCGTTTATAATTCTTCCATGTCTCTGGATTGGTACGGGGGAGAAAGGAGTGAAAAATTAGTATTGATCATTTGCTGTCAATAACTGTTTCATTATTCAACTAATCCAATGTTAATCGTTGAAATTTGTAAATTATGGTTGGTATGAAATGGTCTTTTTAATTTATTAGTAACCATATGTATGAAAGAAAAATTTGACCATTAGCTAGGTTGCATCTAGGAACAGTTTATTATGATTGTTTATATTGAATGAATACCATTTACATTTTAAAAAATTTCACAGATCGTTATTTGATGGGCTTCACCATCGATTATGCTTTTATTTGTAGAATGACTTGATGTGAATGGTCTCGTGTTTGCTGAAATTTTTTGTGCATGCCCCATTATAGATCTGCTTAATTATTTATCGTTGTTGTGACAGATATTTATATACACATCTGATAAGTTTTTGCTATCGATCAAATACTGTCTAGAACAAGAATTGTTTGAACATAACGTCTACGACCAATCATATATATTTATTAGAAGATCGGCCTATCACTCTTTGACTCTGTATATCGCTTAGGAATTAAAGAAAATTAATGATACCGTGTGGTTTGGGATGTTAGATGATTCAGACAGCATGGCATGCATGGAAGGAGCTTGGAGAAATTAATTAAGGGATTGCATGCTCTAGGTAGCTCAGAGGATGTGGATGTGGTCAACACTTGAAGACCGATCTTACCAACTGAGCAAGCTGGCATGATTCGTAAATTAAACCACCAACCATGCATCCCATTCCCATTCATACTGCATGGAGATAATAAAACTCAAAAGTTTGAACAATTATAATTAGGATTTTTATCATAAATGATCATTGAAATTGATCAAATTCCTTATTTTGGTCTTTCAATTTTAGAAAGGATCAATATCGTCTCTAAAATTGACTATTGCACCTCAATTTGGAGATTCCGTTAAGATTTATTAGTTATTTCGTTAGTGTGCTGACATGACACACGTTTAGAGTCTACAAGTTCAATCAAATGTTGACATGTTGAAAAATAATTTAAAACCACAATCAAAAGTGATTTAAAACAATAAAAAAAACTTAAATAAGGTGTGATAGTCAATTCCAGGGATGATATTGATTGATTTTGAAATTGAGGGATCAAAATGAGGAGTTAGGTCAATTTCACAGACCATTTGAGATAAAAACCCTTATATAATTATCTGCATTAATGTTTGTGTCAAAAATTAAAAAACACAGATTAATCACGACGACATTGTCTACAACTTGCACATCTACCTATGTGTTAGCACAATAAGCATGGTTCGATCATATCAGAAATCAATGTAATTAGGAGTAAAACTATATATATTCGTTGTAGATATATTGTAATTCACTTCGTCACAGTTTCCCGACTTGAGATTTTTTGCAGTCTTCAACACTTACGTGCATGCATGGCAGCAGGAACATACATCTATCACGATCTTAACCGAATGATTTGTGTTATGCGGTGGCGCTCTAGATTAATTATATATATACTTTCTTACTAGCTTTAGGCTTATACACTCTCACGTGATTGAGATATGTCAAGAAAAAGGTCTTTAGGAATTAATGACCGCTGATCTGTTTCTGCAAGGGAATTCGAGGTTTCATGTTGAAGTACCTACGGAAAATCAGATCTGCCGTTGCAAAAGAAAGTAAATTATTTTTGTTTAAGTAGCTAATAACTAGGAGCCTGCATATGGATCACATAGAAATAATGATAACCATGTTCAAGTCTTCAAGACAAGCTGGATGATTTTCTGGCAAGTTGCTCAGAGTATAAGCTGGCTCTGCAGTCCCTCCTCATGGCTCATGCATGGGAATTATTTTTTTATAAAATTTGTTCAGTTTTCCCAGAATACTGTTTCTTACGGTTACTGAGTCATTAATACATGTAATGCGCAAAGTTTTCTACTTTTGTTTGGTGACATGAATTAGGGCTTTGAATGTGCAGATGTAATTACTATTTGCATAGGGGTGTGATATCCACACATCATTTTTTACTTCTTACACACCCTTCTAATTTTAAGCCGTCGGATATGATGAATTGAAAAAGATCAATGGACAGAAATTAACAAAGAGTATGTGAGAAGTAAATCCACACACCTTCTTGCATAAACAAATGTTCAAATCCATGAGAAATTATTGCTTGGGGCCGGCCAATGAACCCTTTTAAATTTGTCAATGCATCCCAACATGAACAGCACAAGGCAGCCCAAATGGCCAGCCCTAAAATGCAGCTGGAACACAGATGTTTCTCCTGTTTTTGTTTCATTTCTTTTCCTTTTTTTTCTTCTTCTTATAATTAATTTCTTAAGAGTGAATCTACCAAAACTTATAAAGTTTGTGTGTAATAAAAACAAAAACAGAAAGTGGCGGATTATCTTGATGGTTACTAGATCGAGTCTCCCTATTCCCTCAGTGTAGTTTAGAGTACGAGTATCGATAGTATTCAAATAAGGCGCAAAATCTATTAACAGACTTGTTAAATACAAAGTTGAGGACAAGTATTTCTTCTTTAAGATTTTCCAAGTGACAAAACCACTATGATAAACATCCCTGCAAACTCGGGTATGTTTTCAGCAACCGCATCAAGCAGACTTAAAGGGAAAAGCATATCCGCAGGAGGAGTTGGGTCAAATTGAATCGTCGGATTCATCAGAGTCACTTCTATCGGGATCCCCAGCATTTGTAGCTGCCTCTGGAACATCAGGTTGTGACATAGGTTCTTCAACAGTCTTTTTACTTGCATTACGAGCATTTCCGTCTCCATCCTTTTCTTGCTCAGCTGCTTCAACATGTGAGCCTACTTAATTAAGGATAAGCAAAACAGACCATTCAGACTCTGCACATCTAATACAAATCTACTAATCTAGTGTGTCACAACAAGGCAACAAGCTCGAATTCATCATTCAATTGGAAAGTAAATTTCTCCATTGATAATCCAAACGTGTCACGTGGTTTAACATAACAATATCAAATTTGTAACCTAAGAAACATGAGAACTTTAAAAGAAATATCGTCAAAAAAAAGGAAACATGTCCAACAGAGCAGTAAAACGCATGTCAGTAATTTAAGTAGCCTCAAACATCAGAAAATGGCATTCAATTAGGCTTGAGACTAGAACCAATAGTAGCGGGGATCCTATTTCTCACTTAACAGAAGAATTCATATTGCCTTTTGCACAAAATGATAACAAGAAAGTAATGAAACATAATATGTGAGGATATCAATATTATCAGCTGGTCCGCTTGTACTAATATTCAGTAGATCTTCCTCAACACGCCGGACAAGCTCAGGCTGTAAAATGCAAGAAAATTGCAATCTGTAAAAGCATCCAGATATGAAAGAATATCGCAATAAGATAAAGCTGAAAAAAAAAAATCCAAGTAAAGAGGCTAATGATACATTTAGATCAGGTTCCCTGCGAAATCTTCGCTTTCGAGCATCCCTTGTCGGAGGGGTGAGGCCATGCCTGTACTCCACTGTTTCTGGAGCTGGGTCATTCGGGTCTCTAACCATAATCATCTGTTAAAACCACAAATGTTCGAATAAATCCCTTCGAAATTAAGCACTGATCTATTTAACTGCTTCAATATTGATATACGAGACACACCTGACCAATATCTGCTGTCTTAATTAACACACTATCATCATATGTTTTGAACGACTCCACAACACAAGGAAGATCAAACAGTGATGCAGGGAAATGGTCATTGCCAATGACAAATGTGCCAGTCCTGCCATCCTCTGCATGATATTTCAAGTTTACAAGTGAAACATTTGGTAAAACAGGGAAAAAACATAGTATTAAACGACAATGCTAGAAATTCATCAGTTGTTACTTGTCCATCACTAGTTGGCTAGTTGTGGCATGTCCATAAAGCATACTAGAAATGAGAGTTGATCGAGAAATTGATTTTAAAAAAAGGAGCTACAGGCATAAGTAGGCAAAACATTAAAATTAAATATGGGCAGTCCTGAATGTGGAATATGATTTTCCACACATGCCAAAGTACTATATCTGCGAAAACCTTTGAACAAATCTCACATATCTGCTCGACACTAAACCCAAAAGGTGCACGATACCTGTCATGCATCTGCATTATACTAAAAGTTCACGAGTTTAAGGAAAAGGTTAACACAACCAGGCATCACACAAATCACAACCAAGAATCATATACCACAAGACAATGCATAACATCAATATCACACAGCCATTGCCACCATCACAACTGCAACATAACAAAAGAAGCTTCAAACCGACAAAGTATGCTTTCTGCCTAAACTAGGGCCTGACCGGGACAGCTCCCAAAAGAGCACTTCCAGGCGGTTTTTCTTTTGGGCAGCTGTTCACCGTTGGATCTCGCCAATACAGCCCCCTATAGTAGCACTTCCTAACTTAGAAGTGCTTGCGCGTTGTAGAACCACTTTCTGGGGAAGCAAGTGCTTCTCCAAGCACTCGGAATTCCAATAAAAATCTTGACGTGTTTATAATATAAGCGTTTGTGAGCAAAAGTGCTTCTCACAAAAGCAGTCCCATAACAGGCCATTATTTCTTCCCCCGCCCCCGGGCGCCCCTCCCCACCTCCCCAAAAACAAAACAAAAAAAAAGAAAAAGAAAAAAGACAATCCAAGTTCGAACCAATCACTCCCATGCATAAGCAATATCAGCAAATTCCAACCATCACAAATGAAGCTACTTAATAACAAACATATTAATCCTTAAACACTGATAATTACGTTCCCAATTGGTCCTCATTAGCAAAACGCTTTCAATACAACAGATTAATTTACAATTAATAAATACTTAAAACGCAATTCAATCCAGCAAAAGGAGGTTTCTTTCTGACCTCCGAATGACAAATCCAACGACTTGTCGTCGGTAGAAGCGTTTTCGCCCAGAAGGCGGTCCAGTCGCTCTGCAACAGAAGGTGGGACTCTGAGCACGAACTGCTCCTCCATCACTGCGACAAAACGGCACCATATCAGCCTGAATACGAGCGCAAAAAGGGAGAATAAACCCTAGATGCGAAGCAAATGTACAATGAATTCAGAATTTCGGTCCTAATTGTAAACTAAATTCGGTGCCGGAGAGATTACCTGAGAGAAGATAAATGTCAGAAGGAGAGAAATTGGACTGCTCTGTTCGTGTGACCAATAAGGATGAGAAAGAGAGAGGACAATCAAACAAAGCATTTGAGAAGGGTATTTTCGGAAACAAGGTAATAGAGTTAGTGATTCAGTTGTAAAATATGAATTACGAGTCATATTTAAAACTAAAAATTAAAGATTTTGAATTCAAAATCTGCTGTTAATTAAGAAGTTAGACTTGTGACAGGAAGGTTGGAATGCCACAATAATCTTTTTGGCTTTCGAAAATAGTAGATATCTGTGGCTAGCTTCCCTTTAAAAAAAGAAAAAGGAAAAGAGAAAAATGAAATTGGGTCATAAGAAAACGGGTAACCCTAAACAAAGGACACTTTATATAAACTCCTACGGATATTCATCTCTCTATCGACGCTGTGTCTGGGCGTTTACAGAGCCAAAACAAAAGCAAGCCACCGCCGTCGACTTCCAGTTCCTCAACCTCAACCCATCCTCTCCGATTCTCCGCCTTCAGGTCTCACTCTCTCTCTCTCTCTCTCTCTCTCAATATGTTTGCACATTGTTAGGGTTAGAGTTCGGAGCTCGGGAGTTTATGCTTGTTAGGGTTTATGTATTCGCAAGGAATTTTTTCAAATTGGTAATTTTCTCCCAAATGTATGGTTATAATTCCTGATTAATGTAGCCAATTTCACTTATGATTCTAGTGTTTGAAAAAAAAAGATCCATGTAAAAGGTTGTTGTAAAAACAAAATAAATTTGGGGGCTTTTTTTCCATGGATTTGTTGTTCTTGTTTTTACGTAGTAATTTTGCTTTATTGCGAAGAAGTTGACCCGGGCTCGAATGTTTTTGCTTGAAATTTTGGTTCTTGATTGTTGGATTAAGTGGGTACTTATAGATAGTTTTTGTGATGTTGTAATATTCTGCTTTTGAAGTTTCTAATGAATTTTTGAAATTGGTCAGGAGGCTGCTGACAGTTCTATAATGAGGGGAAGGAGTTACAGTCCATCACCACCACCGAGGGGAGGATATGGTAGGAGGGGACAACGAAGTCCTAGCCCCAGGGGTCGCTATAGCGGTGGTCGTGGTAGCAGTAGAGATCTTCCTACAAGCCTTCTAGTTCGCAACCTTCGCCATGATTGCAGGTTTGTTGTGGTTAACACACATGGAATCTCTTTTTTATTTGAAACATTCGATTTGCATTGCAAATTTTGTGTAAGGGAGTGTGATGGCTGTTTTAAGGGGGAAAGTACAAGAAGGCATGGTATTTTGAATTTATGAATTAATGAGCTGTTGTTTTTCATGTGTTTTATCACAGGCCAGAAGATCTCCGCAGGCCATTTGGGCAGTTTGGCGTGCTTAAGGACATCTACCTGCCAAAGGATTACTATACTGGGTGAGCATATTAGAGTAACGTTAGTTGAATATCTTGATGAAATAATAATTTTGTTTTTCTTTATATGTTTAAGTATTCATTTTGTGTACGTATATTTTACCTTATGAGTAGAAATTTTATAGTTTTCTGCTTGCTTATTTTCCGTGATTTCTGAAACTATGGCATGATTTTGCAAGCTTTTGCAACACTGGTGTAGCAAATTTAAATTAAGTTTTAGATATAAGCTTTCTTGTAGATGGAATCTCTATGGTTGAACTTCTCTTGTTATGTAATTGCTACGATGTGTTTTAGCGTGCTTCTGTGCCCACATTTTATTTTAATGAAAACCAGAGCTTTTAAGCCAATGAGGGTTGGCTCAGTTGGTAAGGTTGTGCGCTTTGTAAAGTCCTACGTAAATCCATACTGATGGCAGCTGGCAGTTAGGTGTCACACGTAAGTCCTTCAGGCTCGAGGTTGTGGGTATGCCTTGGTGCTGGTGGTGAGAGTAACCAATCTTCCCCTAAACTTTTCTTTACCAAAAAAAAAAAAAAAAAAAAAAGAAAAAAAAAAGCAGAGCTTTCAAAAACAACTATTCATGGCAATATGTTCAATGCTATTTTAATTATTTACTAAGGAATCATTTTAATATTGGAATACCTTGGAGACCTGCTCTGCTTTTTCTAGATACTGTCCTTAAGAAGGGGGCTTATTTTACGTGATCTTTTCTTATTGTTACGATTGGTTGGGTGTGTTAATTAAAGTTTGTGAGGTTTAACAGTGAAATTAAAGTTTTGAAGACAAGAATCAAGTAATTAGAGTTTGAAGATGATGTTAGTGGTAGTGAAGATTTGAAGGAAGTTGGATTTGAGTACATTGTGAAGATGTTCCAAGTCTTGAAGAATTTCAAGTCATCTTAAAACTGACTCTTGCAAGGTCAGCAGCCAAGTGCTTGCTTCTTTATAGTGACCATCCATATTTTTTGGTGGTTATTTCGACAAATTTATTAGGAAAGATTTTGGGTCTGTTAAGTATTTGCATAATTTTGCTTTTCAGTGTAGCTCCTTTGTGACTATTGTTTTTCTTCTCTTTCCATCTATTTTCGCAGGGAGCCTCGTGGTTTTGGTTTTGTCCAGTTTGTTGACCCTTCCGATGCTGAAGAGGCTAAATATCAAATGGATGGTCAGCTTCTTCTTGGTCGGGAGATAACTGTTGTATTTGCAGAGGAGAACAGGAAGAAGCCATCTGATATGAGGCATAGGGAGCGTCCAAGGTAAAAAGCTGCCTCTTGCTTTTTTTCGTATCGCTTGTGAAGTTGATGCTTAATTCGAATAATATATCTTCTGGATGTCTATTTCATGTGGTTGTGAACTTGTTTAAAAGAACAAAGAAATCACTTGTATATTCCTAGTTGATGTATTTTAACATATACTAAGTCATTCAACAAGAAAAAACCAAAGGATTGCCAATCTGTGTATATCAATTTAGGAAGTGTAAAAAATGCCCATATTTAAATGGTTGAGTTCTTGCATTAGAATATACGTATTATGTGTATATATATGAATTAGTCATTCTAGTAATTTAACGGGTCTGCTATCTAGTTTGCCTTCACACATTGTGCAAGGTGAATTGAGTTGAGATGATAATTAATAATGTGTAATTGAGAAACTGGTATGATACTTTCTACTTTTTAAATCTTTTCTCTTAGCTCCCGGACTACTAGTCGATATCGTGATCAAAGACGGTCTCCTCCTCGCTATTCACGCTCTCCACCTCCACGCCGTGCAAGATCTCGGTCTCACAGCCGTGATTATTATTCTCCTCCAAAACGAAGGGATTATTCCAGGTAATAGTTCTGTTTCTTCTCTGCTGTGTCCTCTTTCCGGTAAAGCCATTTCTTGTTGGTTTTGGTTATGGAACCTAATTACTAATGTATGCAATCTGCTGTTTATCATTCCCAGAGTCCAAATAAGTTTTTATGCATTAGAATATGGGGATAAATATATATTTTGGGTTTTGGGTTTCTGATGGAATTATTCCTACCGGTATTGATTGCTCATGTATTTCCTCCATATTCTTGCTAAAAAAATGCTACTTTTACATTTTTATATGATAGACCTGTTGTATGCGAGTCCCTTCCACATTATGTGTATGAACTTAGATGCTTCTGTCTAGTGCTTCCTGCTATTTGTTCTAATGTGTGCTTCCTGCTTCTGCTTTCTAGATCTGTCTCACCTCAAGAGAGAAGGTACAGCAGAGAGAAGTCGTTTTCTCGATCTCCTCCACCATATGAGGGCTCAAGGAGCCGTAGTCAGAGCCCAGTTAGGGGTCCAAGCCAGAGCAGAAGCAGAAGCCATAGTCCAAGGCGGAGCATAAGAAGAAGCCGAAGCCCTATCAATGAAGATTACCCAAGGGAACCAAATGGAGACAGATCTCCTAGTCCATGAAACCTAGAAAGATAATTGCTCTCTTAAGCTAGCGGAAAGTGACTTGTTACACCATCTGTTGGATTCGTTTAGTATTTTGGTCAGTCCGATGTTGATGCTACCGTTTGATGAGGAGACTTTGGTCGTTTTTCGGATTAAGATATGTAGGTTTATGCTTTTGTTTGAATGGCATGTATTATGACAGAATTTCTAAACTTTCTTATCATCTCTTGCGATTTTGTTCCATTAACTTGGTGTTGCTGAGTCTTCGTCTCTAATGAGAGCCCATCTCCCGTGCATCTCTCCGCAGAACCGGCAATACTTGCTTTGCTTGGGAGGGAGAGACGCACAACCGGGATAGTTAAGGAGTCTTCTCTTTTCCCATCCGGGCTTGGCGTAATATTTTTGCCAGTCTTTCCTTATCCGATGCGAGTGTATTTTCAACTGTTTTTCTAAAATCGTATTCTTTTTGTTTTTTCGCCAATCGATAATTTAAGTTGGGTTACACAACTGAATTATCCATAATTAGTTATTGACCTTAAGAGTCGAATTGACGCCTCCCAATCATAATTGTAGCGTTAATGACACTATAAGTTCGATTTAAGATTTTTTTTTCCTCTCGAATAGATATTAAATTAGTTATCAACGAAATTTGAACTTATCATACAATAACTCAACATCTTTTACCATTGTGATAAAAGGCGTTAAATCCGATTTAAGAGTTAAGAAGTACAAAACCGTTCGTCTTCACGCGGCTTATCCCATGACTTTACATCACCTTTTTCTTTCTTTCAACCTGAGAAAATTGGCTTTTGGAGGGAAACCTAATAAAATCACCGACATAATTAAATAAATTAACAAGGAAAAGTAGCGATAATCCCAATGACTCCGGTCAATGAAATTCTTGTGTGAAAAAAATAAAATAAAAATAGAAAAGAAAGACAAGGCAGAAAATGACAAGCAATGAAGAAACAAAGCAAGCGGAGTTTCGAATACCTGGCTTCAGTTGGGTTCACACTCTCAGTCTCAGTAGCTCCTCCACTTTGCATTTACAGGTTCTATCTACAACCTTCCTCTTCCCATTATTTTTTTTATATTATATATATATATATATTTTATTTGTTACTGAATAATATTAAAATGATTGGATGGTGGGGGCAACTTTTGTCAGAAATTTCTTCTTTTTTATTTTCCTGGGATGTAAATTGTAGTAAAGGTTTTATTGTTTGTGAAGTGCTCATCTGGCTTCCACATGTGAGCAAGTTACTTTTTTTGAGCTTTAAACAAATGAAGAACCTTTCTTGGATTCTTGCTTGGTTCTAGGCACTTCAGTTTCTTATGTGCTTTACTGTTTCTTATCTGGGTTTTTTGTTTGAATCGTTGGAAGTAAACTTTGCGTCTGTTTTCAGTTGGGCAGGTGGAATCGCGTACTGCTTTTCTGGTAATTTATCTCTAATTTTCAGCTTCTGGGTTGTTCTTGGTTGTGTTGTTTGTGGTCGATTTGCTTCTGCACTGGCTTTTTTTTTTTTTTTTCTGGTTTTCTACATCTGGGTTCTCTGGCTATGCGTTTTCCTGTGCCGGGTTCGTGCGAAAAATCGAAGCTTGCGCAATTTTATGTACTACTTAGTTTGCTCAAGCTGGGAGCTTGAGATCACAAGTTTTAGTTCAGATTTCGTATCGAAAATGATAAGTGGGGGAAGTGAAAGAAATTGTTGGAGGAAACGAAGAATTGTTGCTTTTGTTTGTCTGTCAGCTGTTGAGAATAAGAGTATATCATGTCTAAATCGGAATGTTTGGTTCTTGATAATTAAATTCACTTGCGATGAGCCTGTGTGGTTGCGAGTTGTGTTTACGTATGCGATCTCTCGTACTCTTTTTGTTATTCACATTTGCATCCCCTTTTCATGTTGTATATTATTTGGCAGTGCACATTATATTACGAATGCCATTGATAATACTCAAAGCTGTTGCTGAACTTTGGTTTTGTTAATCACGATCTCATCGCATTTTGTGTACGGTTCGTTTCTTTCAGTTTAGGAGTTACGAGCTAACTGCAGGGCATTGGAGGTCCAATTGAAGTGTGGTTGGTACAAATGATGCGTGGAAAATGGATTGGAGGCATGATTTTCCTCCTAGTTGGCATGTTCACCAATGTACTAGGTAACATTGTAACCTTGTTCTGTTTTCTGTTGATTCCGTTTTTCTATTTTTGATAGTATGACTTCGAGCTCCACTCTGCCTGAAATCCTTGTCGTGAGGTCTTGGTTTTACCAATTTCTTCAATATTCCATTGCCTGCATCATGTTTATGTTACTACTTTTAAGCTCCGTATCAACACTGTTGATTTGCTTTCTATACTACATCCTTATCTCGGCTTATGATAGCTGATAAGTGAGTATAATAAGAAACAAATTTATGGCCCCTCGTTATAATTGGAAAGCATACATCTACATAGTTTTAAGTATTTCACTTGTACTTGCAAAAAATATCGTTTTCCCTTTACCTTATCCGATATGGCAATATGTTGCCAGCCCCGCCTTGTTCTTGAGGCTTTGCCGTTGTAGGTATATGTGGTCTTGGGGGAACTTTTGGAGTATGTTCACTTGATATCTAGATTCTCTATATATTTTCAGGATTTTTTATACTTTAATGTTTTACTTTAACTGAAGCGCACAATTTGGAATTTTGAGATGCCTATGTTCGTTGTTGTACTGTTACCATTCTAACAAGTTACTGAAATCACAATTTCAAATTTATAGGTTCATTCATAGGGATAAACATTGGGACCGATGTTTCGGACCTTCCATCTGAGACAGATACGGTTGCACTCCTTAAAGCCCATCAAATTACACATGTGCGCCTCTACAATGCTGATGCTCACATGCTGAAAGCCCTTTCAAACAGTAGGAATTGAAGTAATGGTAGGTGTTACAAATGAGGAAGTCCTAGGGATTGGAGAGTCTGCATCAGTAGCAGCTGCCTGGATTAACAAAAATGTGGCAGCTTATTTGCCTTCAACCAATATTACCTGCCATTGCTGTTGGCAGTGAGGTCATTACCACAATCCCTAATGCCGCGCCAGTTTTGGTTTCTGCTATGAATTACCTTCATAAAGCCTTAGTTGCATCAAACCTAAATTTTCAGATCAAAGTTTCGACTCCACAATCCATGGATATAATCCCAAAGCCTTTCCCCCCGTCCACTGCCACATTTAATTACTCATGGGGACCTATCATTTACCGAATCCTTCAGTTTATTAAAAACACTAATTCCTATTATATGCTAAATGCCTATCCTTATTATGGTTACACCAGTGGGGACGGAATTTTTCCGCTTGATTATGCTCTTTTCCGACCCCTTCCCCCTGTCAAGCAGATTGTTGACCCGAACACTCTTTTCCACTATAATAGCATGTTTGATGCTATGGTGGACGCCACCTATTATTCTATAGAGGATTTCAATTTCTCTGGGATCTCTGTTGTTGTCACCGAGACTGGCTGGCCATGGTTTGGCGGATCCAAAGAGCCTGATGCCAACACGGGAAATGCTCAGACCTACACTAATAATTTGATTCGACGAGTGTTAAATGGTTCGGGTCCACCCAGCCAGCCAAAGTTGCCCATCAACACGTACATTTACGAGTTGTTCAACGAAGATCAGAGGCCAGGGCCAGTGTCAGAGAAAAACTGGGGTGTGTTCTATACGAATGGGTCTGCTGTATATCCTTTAAGTTTGAATGATTCCAATCAAATTACTGGGAATTCTTCAGGGGTTTTCTGTGTGGCAAAAGCTGATGCAGATCCAGATAAGTTGCAGGATGGCTTAAACTGGGCTTGTGGGCAAGGCGGGGCTAACTGCACTCCCATTCAAAAAGGGCAGCGGTGTTATCTCCCCGATACTATTGTAAATCATGCTTCATATGCTTTTAATGACTATTACCAAAAGATGCAAAGTGCTGGCGGAACATGTGACTTTGATGGCACTGCCATGACAACTACTGTTGATCCAAGTAAGTTTCTGTCACATCTTGTTATCCCTTGATATTTGAGTATGTTTGGATTCAGGAAGCACTATTTTTATGATAGTTTTGAAGACAAGTTTTCAATTGCCTTTCATTAATCTGCGGTGTTATATCAGCTGGAAACAGCCCTAATTACAATGTCGACAATCATTAGGAGGATTTTTTGTTTCTTGTTTTGTTGCAAAGAACCTCGTGCTTCTTATATTGGTTTTCCGGTTAAACAAAACAATAGTTTAGTTGGTTGCATAACCTTTCCGAGAAAAGTAAGCTTCTAGTAAATGTAGCTTTAACTAGTTTTTAAGGTGTGGTTTTTAAATCGGCGCTACTGTTGCATGAAAAATGGCTACATGTTTCTGATTGTAATATTGACTATTGATGTCTGCTTGTCAACCTTTGAAGTATTTTGTTTCTTTTTATGGCTACTTTGCCCATTCTACTACCTCTCAAGTTAAGCATATTCCTTCCATTTATTCTCTCTTTTTCATCCTAATATTCGTTTTGGTCGGCATTCGTTTACAGGCTATGGCGCGTGTAAATTTTCCGGAAGGTGAGCATCTTTTTCAGATTTATAACTATAGAACTTGTACAATAAATTATGAGTTTGGCTCTAAACTTGCCCTATTGTGACAGTTCTAATTCAAGTGCATTTACGGGACTTACACCAGCGGCAATTGCACCTTCAAGCCCTGTTGGAGGCTGGAGTTCGAATCTACAAGCTTCCAATCTTCAATATCTCATGCCGGCTGCATTTCTTGTACTGTTTTTGCTTTGACTTGAGGTTCCGTCCAGTTTTTTACCATATAGCGTAGTTATAGAACCAAATTCGAGATAGCAAAATGATTGAAGACTCGGGAAGCGTACGGCAGCACAAGCTTGGTGACACAGTGGAATGTCCGTACGTTGTTTCATCAATTTTGCTTGTGTTTCCAACTTCTGAGACCGTCTCCTTCACCTGTGCAAATTCCGGGGAGTTTTGTGTAGTTCGTTTTGCGCTTTGCGGGCATTTCTGATGAAGTAGTGGATAGACCTTGATTTTTTCGGACCAACTTAACTAGAACTTAATTTGTACCTTGTCAATGGAAAAGTAATTCTACCTTCCAATGTACTTTCATCGTATCGAATTTTATCTGTGCATGAATTTAACATGTTTCTTAATTTATGTATCTCCCCAAATCATCGGAAAAAATAATGTTGTCCGGATCATTTAGAAAGAGCTCATAATATCTTACTCCGCAACCAAATATGGGTGTAAACAAGTTGATCCTACACGAAAATAATGAGTTTCGAGTCAACTTGTTAACTAGTCGGATCATTATCGGGTTATAGTAACTTGGTAATGTGTCATGTCGTCATTTAGTCGCCCCTTAAAAGAATCCGATGAGATATCGTTTGCCAAATTTAGAAATTAGGCATGACAATTTCTTGTATGACTCGTTAATCTAGCATGAAACGGCACGATCCGTTTACGAATCAGGTCGTTATTGGGTCACCTGTTAAAACTGTTAAAATAACATGTTTGACACGACAAGTCCCGTTATCTTAACGGTATGATACAATACGACATGAACATGTACCTGTTTGTCAAGTTTAATACCAATGTTAGAGTTATGGAAACAATTTATACTTTCTTTCGGCCCCATCTGTCAACACATCAGAGTGGCGCAGCGGAAGCGTGGTGGGCCCATAACCCACAGGTCCCAGGATCGAAACCTGGCTCTGATAAATTATCTTACTTCTTTTTTTGTTGTTTCCTCCTCTTTTCCCTCTAAATTCACCCAAAACGGCGCCGTTCCGTCATCCAACCTCTGCACTGCAGCTTCTGACCGAAGCAGCATTTATCTTTCTTCCTCTAAATTCACCTAAAGTGAAGTGACAGGCGCGTCGAAGATGACGACACCGTCAGCACCGTCGTTGGCATCATCGTCGAGGTGGGCGTCGACGACCTCAGTGTCGTCCTCAGGGAAGAGGATTCATAGAGAAATGGTGGAGCTTAACATCGACCCACCTCCCGACTGCTGCGCTGGGCCCAAGGGCGACAATCTCTACCACTGGATCGCCACCGTTTTTGGCCCCCCAGGTTCTTTCACTTCCCTCCTGCAAATCACTTAAATAAAACGATATTCTCTGTTTTTTTCTTTCTGTTTTATGAATTGTCGCATGGATTTTGTTTGTTTTATTTTTCTGGGTTAAGCTTAATTTGTTGACTCCAGTGTGGAGTTTTTGATTTGAAATGGATGGTTCGGTGATGAATTTGTGGTTTCCCAGCTCAGTTTTCTCTTTTGAGATTTGTGTATTGTGTTTACTTTGCTTTCTGGATTAAGCTTTAATTTGTTAGCATTTTGCTTCTGTGTGGGGTTTTGGGTTCAAAATTGATGGTCTTTTGTGAGATATTTGTTTGCTTTGCTTTCTTGCTTGGTTTTTCTTTGCTTTTTAATTTTTAATAACCAGAGTGAAGTGTAAGGTTTAAAAGTGAAGAATTTTGGTACTTTCCTGGATGATGGGTTGGTTTCGAATTTCTGGGTTTAAGGCGGATCGATTTTTATATTTTTAGGTTTACTTTTGGGAAGAACATGAAAATGGATTTTGCCTTTTTCGAGTATTTCATCAGAACTAGCTTGCTGCGTAGTGCAAATATAGTTCCCTAAGCAATCTTTCTTGTTTTTCAACTCTTTAGCTGATGTGTGGCTGCAACATGATTTTGTTTAAGATTGCTGCCAAGGTCTTTTTATCAGTATTAGGTTTCTGGCATGCGCGTCAAGCAAGCTTATTCGTTTTTCAACTCATTATACTGATTATGGGTTTGTAGTTGATTGAGTTTTATTTCGTCTGCTGCAAAGGGGTTTTCATTTGCATTTCTGGCGTGATAAAATCATGTCCTTTGGATTATGGTGCTTATTCTGATTTTTATCTGTAACTGTGGGTGATATAACATCGTAGGCCTGTGGGTAGTAGAATATGTAGTCTTTACCCTCAAAGATACTGAGCACGTCCTAATAGCTCCATCCCTTGGTTTGTGATTTTGTTGCTCGATTACTGAGGTTTATTTTTGGATGTCTTTTGGCATGGATGTCAGAAAAACTTAAATTTGCGGACAATAGGTTTTATCTTAGAACCAAATTTGTAATTTTTATGTCTTGTAAAAGTTGAATGCTGTGGGAACCCATCAGTTCTTCATTTTTCGTGTAAGAATGCCGTTTTCTGCTCTTTTATGGTTTTGGGTAGTTTTACATTACTGATATGGTTTATGTTTTGAATGGAGTTGAATAAATTATCCACTGGATATGATTTTGACCAGCTTTTCGGTTTATGTTTGTTCTGTAAGCTGCTAATAACTATGCAGATTGAGTGATCTAACCTCTCCTTGGCCATAGCGAGCTTTGACACACTTCTGTGTTCTTGTTCCTAGGAACACCTTACCACGGTGGCATATATTTCCTTGACATTACGTTTCCGAGTGACTATCCGTTTAAACCTCCAAAGGTATTGCGTCCTATAAATCTCCAAATAGTGCTGTTTATTACTCTCTTATTTCATTATTTATTTTACTTTAAGGATCAGTTTTGTAGGTTGTATTCACAACTCGAATTTATCATTGCAATGTTGATTCTAACGGCAATCTAAGCCTGGAAATGTTAAAGGATAGTTGGAGTCCAGCTCTAACAATAACCAAGTTGCTACTAGCCATCCGATCCATCTTCACAAGACCTGATCCTTGTAAGTTCTAATATCTTTCCTCCAATTTTACCTACGGTATATCACTTCGTCGGTCTTAATTATGTAAGTAGTATATCACTTCGTCGGTCTTAATTATGTAAGTAGTATATCACTTCGTCGATCTTAATTATGTAAGTATTTTTAAGGGAAATTTTGTCATAATTCCACGCAAATAAAAAAATTTGATAACAGGTTGGATCCATGTCTTGTATGCAAAATGATGTAGGAACAGAGAAAATATTCCCAACCATAGTAATAACTTAGCTTGCACCCCTGAGCAGCATGATGTATTTTTTGTACTGATTGAATGGATATTCACATCTGAGCAGATAATCCCCTTGTCCCCAGCATTGCCCGTTTGTACTTGGAAGATAAAGCTAAATATGATGAGCTTGCTTCTGAGTGGACGCTGCGATTTGCTAAGTGATTTTACCTGGGATCTTCTTATATCGTTGCAAATAGTCAGGAAGGACGTTATGTTATGAACTGAATACTGTGAGCTAGCGTGTTATGTACCCAACGGGTTTGATACCAAGCATGAATGTACCAGCTGAATTTTTTGTGGACCGATCGTTGAATAACCGAAAACCATGCTCAAAGGAAAATGCTTGTAATATATCCTTCATATGAGATCAATATCATATGTAATATATCCCTATTGCTTGATGTGATGCTCCACTAAGTTTACATGGTGCATGCTGCCGGGATTGTAAGTTTCTCGTAAGGCCTTAGTATTCACCCGTTTCTCTCTCTTTCTTATGAAGAAGTCATGCAGGAACGTTGAGAAGAAGCAGTTTTAAGTACAAGATTTAAAAAAAGTGGTTCAAAGTTCCGACTTTGATTTGCATCAATGAAAATTGCAAGGATTGTGAGCTATCGTGGCTCAATCTTTTCCATTCATATTCTCTTCACACCTCTTGTTCAAAGAAGAACAAACTGTTATAATTATGACTCCTTTGGATCTTGCTTTTTGATGTATCCGGCAAATACACTAAACTTAGCAAATTAAAGAATTAAAAACACACAAGATTTATATTGGTTCGGTAGAACTTATGTCTATGTCTAGTTGTGATTTCTCTAGATAGAGAAACAATGGCTTCTTTGATTAATAATAGAGTTAAAATACTTTTGCAAAACCCTTGAACTAATCTCTCTTTGTCCCTCTCGGCTGTCTCTGGCTTTTCTCACTTGCTAGCGTCTGTTTATGGCTTTTCAGCAAGCTTTCCCTAGCCTTGCCACACCCTATATACAAGTATAGGTTGTGGTTTATATGCCTATTTTCTGATTAAGTTTCCTATTCTATATGTAATAGGAAAGTACACTTACTTTCCTTTTTCCAATGATCAATAAGGATTTCCAATCTAATTGTACAAGGAAACTTTTATTCTTTCTAGTCCTTTTAAGAGAAGAATCGGTGCACCTCTAATTTCCCTAATACGATCCTAAACAAGAAAGAACACTAACTTTGACGAGCTAAAATCCTGACACAAACAATTTGGTGATCCTCAGAAAAGAGAGACACAGGCGGCAAATCCTCTTCTAGCAGGAGCGCAAGACAATCGACGATGCATAGCTGTTGAAGAGAGCCTAGTTGTTGAGGTCCTTCTCCGGGCAGGGATTCGAGAGTGCCGGGTGTTTTGATCCAAAGATTTCAAACTTGGTAGACCAGATGGTGAGTGGTGGAGAGCAGCTTTTGTTTGAACAATGTCTCCAACCGAATCTTAAATTCTCCACTGTTAAAAAAGCACAGATATTATAAATGCAAATCTAGACAAGCAAAATGAAGAAAGCAAAGGAAAAGGAAGGTACAGTACAATTTACGAATCATCACTGTTCAACCGTAGATGTAATCTTTCGGTAAAATCTGTAGCAGAACAACCAGCCTCCTTGTACTGGCACTGGCATTGGCATTCATCCAAAAACAGTTAAGTGTCGAACTTTGAAGACAACCAATTATATAGGAAAATACAATCAATTTAACATTAACTACAGATAAGTGGTGCGAAATACGTACACATGTACCAGACTTTGTCTTGAGAGTTGAGAGTGAAAAAGGAACGATGAACCCCATCTGAAGTGTCTCTTTTCCCAGCTAACATGAACCCCTAACTGATTAGCAATTTTACTGCGACAACGTACGTGAAGCACTACAACGGTTCAGAGTTGTTGCGTACCAAGAAAGTTTCTAAACATGACGGCCTGCTCCAAACCATTCTCCATCAAATTTTGGTAAAGAAGTATCATCTGTTTCTCCACTGCATCTTCCTCTGGAGCTGTTAATGAATAAGATGATCGCCTATGCTGCGAGTGACTCTGCAATGTTTCTACGCAAATTCAAGTCAAGTCATGCGTAAGTCATCACACACACACACACACACATATCGGAAACTAACCTATGCACAACCTTGTTGGTCTCCCATCTCTCTCGCAAGCACAATGAACAATTGCATTAGAGCGTAGCCTTGCCATCATGAAATCTATTAGACCAAACACACAATAATCCTGCTCCTTTTGTAGCCACCATTTGCATCCCGTGATGTAGTGCCATGGCCTCGATGTGTAGAGGGGACTGAACCCCGATGCACTTGGCTGAACAGGTACCAATCAGAAAAGCTAAAACCAATCAAGAGAAACAATCAATGGACCCCTTAGCGATTAGAATTTACTGGTGCTATCTGCAATAATGTATACACGAAGCACTATCATGGTTGAAGTTGTTACTTACCAAAAAAGTTTCTAAATTTTCAGGGTCTACTCCAACTTTCCCCATCATCTATTTCTCCACAGCTTTTTTCCTCTGGAGCGATTAATGAATCAGATTATCGCCTACACAGTGAGAAAATCTGCAATGTTCAAATAACATATTTTTTTTTTCTTTTGTTAACTTGCCATGCGTGCCACGTGACACCACACACGCTAATATATTGAAAACAAACCTCCGAGTCCAGATGCAACTTTGAATATTCTCGTGATTGCTCATGAAATCCACAATGGTGAGAAGAATGCTATAATCTCTTAGTTCCTTCGGTTCGCTAACAGGAGATAAGATGTTCATAGGCGGCCAGCAACAATAGGCACAAGTTCAGATAGAAACATGTGATATTTTCCTTTAAGGGATGGGGATGCAGAGTTTTGATGCAAATGTAGGAAAAGAACGCAGAGCTTTTTACCTTCACTTGCTTTGTACCATTGTTACAATCTAAATCGAACTGTGAAAGACATGTTTTCTCTCATTTCCATTTCAATAGAATGCCAACTTAATTGCTTTCCTCTTTCATCCCGAGCTCAACAAGATACTCCTAAATTCATAGATGAATAAATTATCACTGATACATTATCTTAGAAAACAAGCAAATGGAACTTAAAATAAAAGAGAGTGGAAAGCTGAATTACAGCTCATGTGCAGCGCTCAACGTAAGAAATATCACTCCTGTGAAATCCATAGCACACCAGCCAACCACCTATTCTAGTAACATCATTTACTGGAATTCCAACAAGCGCAAGCATGATGGCTAGTGCTACAACGATCACGCTGAGCTATTCAACCACTTTGCCTGTACAAAAGCATATCTGCACCCACTTGAAGATGAGAGTGACATCAAGAGAAGATGAAAAGACGCGCCTCTCATATTCCAAGTTCAAACCGTAGCAGTATTAGAAAAAAAAAAAAAAAAAATCGTTCCAGGGGTTACCTCTCTGACTAAAGGAGAATTACATTCATGCCAGACAGCCGGAGCTAGCACCATTCAAGGACAACTAATTTATGCACGTTTAAATTGTTGGCAGTAGATGATCCTATCTTAACAATTATAGAGGTGCCATCTGCATCAACAAAGCCAACGTATATGTCAGTCCCATCTTGTTGTCCTGACAGATAGCATAGTTGAATTACACTGTTACGGAAAGGAAGAATAACTTACACTCAAGTGTTCAACTGCTTACACTGAAATCTGTAGGTGCGGCAGCCAGCTATCGAGTCTAGTAACACTCAAGTGTTCAACTGCTTACACTGAAATCTGTAGGCACGGCAGCCAGCCACCGAGTCTAGTAACACTGGCATTCTAGCAAGCGGTGCTAATAAGCCATGCTCTCTTCAAACATTGTGTTTGTAAAGAAACATGTGTATACACCTACCTCAAGATGACATAGGCATTGAAAGATGAGTAAGCATTCCGCCGTATGGAAACCACAGCAGTATATATATACACAAGTACCTGAGTTGTTGATGTAATCTAACATCATTTGCCCTCTGATAATCCTATCCTTACAGTTCAATAGTTTTTTCTCTGGACCGATGAAGTCCAGGTGGTGTTGAAGGTCCATTTCCGTCCAAAGATTTCAAACTTGATAGTCTAGAAACCCAGAGCAACATTTGATGATCCTGTCTTCACAGGTTTACTCTATTTGCTTGCTGCATCAATGAAACCGATATATCAGTTAGTCCTATCACATTTTCTTGACTTAGCATATAGTTGAATTGAACTGTTAGAGTGATTATATAAATGCAATACGGATAAGGCAAACTGAATATAGAAAAAGTGAGAGGGATTAATTACAATTTACAGCTGATCCGCAATGTTCCACCGGTGAAATCTATAGCACAACAACCACCCTCCTTATCTAGTATCGTAATGTACGTACTGGCATTCAAGCAAACACAACCTACCTGAAGATTACAGTTACAGTGAAAGATGAGAAAGTTATGCCGAGAGAAGCATGAAAAAACCATCATGCAGGGTTTACCTCTTCTCAGGCAGGAATATATATATATATATATCCACCCCAAGTAGTTTCACGGTATCAGACTAGAAAGAAGTCACTCTCCTCGCATTCTCCTGTAATTTCATTGGAATTGGACTCTTAAACTTGAATTTAAGTAAGAATATTGATGAAGACAATCAATATAAATAAAAAAGTACCTGGCTTTTTTCTTGAGAGTTGAGAGTTGGAGAGAGTGAAATGAAAGCTCATTGGATGATGACTTGGTCATTTATCTTTATGCAAGGAATGCGAGATATCTTTCTCCAATATTTTGCCTTCTTCAGTGTAGGACAATCCCAGATGATCAGATAAGAAAGAGATGCTGGCAAACCCTCTTTTGGCAGGAATTCGAGACTCTTGCAGCATGAAATTCGTAGCTCTTGAAGAGAAGTGAGGTGCTCAAGTCCCTTCCCGTCCAAAGACTTCAGATTCGATACATAAGAGATATCGAGAGTGTGAAGAGTGGCGGGGAGCAGCTGTTCATTAAGCAACGTCTCCAGCACATCCTGGCTTCTGCCGATACAATAAAATGAATGTAGGTTGGAAGGCAAACCCCCCTGTGCAAATGACACCACATTTGGAAGATTTTGTATCCAAAAACGTTGAAGGGCGGTGAGGGTGTGCATTCGGTCCGGCAACAACTTCAAATTCTCGCATCCAGCGACTCTAAAGTCAGTCAGGTTGGGAGTGGGCAGTCCTCCGTAGGGAAAAGAGACAAAATTTGGACAGTAACTGATATCCAGGGTGTTGAGATGGTTGAGATTTTCATTTGCTCCTCCTTCAACAGAAAGGGATTCCAGATTCTGACAACCATCGATATCAAGAGATGAAAGTTTAGGGAAAATGCCCAAGGGAAGGACCTCAGAGAATCACAGCTATTGAATAGATCCAGAGACTGAAGGGAAGTCAATTTGGCCATCATCTCAGGTGATAGGAATTCTAATTTCTTGCAATGCTCTATACGGAGTGACGTCAGGGTGGTGGGCAGACCATTTGAAGGCAACGACAAGAGTGAGGAGCAGCTATATAGAGTCAAACTTTGAAGACGATTGCTGTTGTGCAGCATTTGCGGCAACGACTGTGTCCCTGTCCCAACAAGATTAATATGGAGCATCTGAAGCGACGGCAGCGTCTCCGTCGTCTCTAGTAGCAATGAGAGACCCGGGCATCCTCTTATTTGCACTTCTTCAAGAGATGGCCGAAAGGATTCCGTGTTCAGGGTATTACTGGCTCTGTTTTCATGTAGAACCTCACAGTTGGACACCCAAAGTACCTTCAAGGAAGGAAGATGATGTGGGCAAGTTTCCTCTCAGCTTCTCACAATTTATTAAAGTCAAGTTCTTAAGACGAGGAAAATCTGGACTTTCACCTCCACTTGGAGGCACCCATTCCTCCCACGCTGGCATATCCATAAACTCTAGCTTCTCTAAAGATGGAAATGGTTGATTTCCCCCATAGAATTCAGCACTAACACTCGTAACAAATTCCATCCTTTCTACGTAGAGCTCTTTCAGAGCAGGTAGCTGACCAACTGGTGGCAGAGAACTACAATTACTACAATCAATCAGACGCATCACTTGTAAGTTGGAGAAGGACGAGTCTCCCACCCATTTCGGGAAACTGGTTCCACCATATCACCTGATGGTCAGTTTCACCAGTTTTACAGAAGGTTGAAGGCTTTCAAGTACTTGTCTCTCTTTCACGGAATCGTCGGAAACCACGCTACCCCATGACAACTCTACATCATTGAGATCTTTCTTATCCTTCAGCAAGGCATCAATAGCACCGACTACATTTCGCAGATTCAAGATAGAAATTTTTCCTCGAAGGTGCGACAACTCCTCAGTTCTCCAATATTTGACCCAGTAGATTTCCCTAACACAAAAGCAGTAAGCGTTCTCAAACTTCTTAGTTTACCCATTTGCACTGGCATCGCTTTTATTTTAGTTCCACTAATATCAAGATGACGCAAATGAATCAATTTCCTCATGTCTGCAGGCAATTCAACAAGAGAAAAACAGCCTAACAACAATAGAGTTTGTAAATTATAAAGAGTACACACTCTATCTGGTAACCTTTTAATTTTTGTGTAAGAGAGATCAATGTAGCGCAAGTGTGTTTGTTTACCAATGGAATCAGGTAAGCGACTGATATTATCATATCTTGACAATGAAAATGCCCGTAAACATTTTTGTGCTTGCAGTAATTTATCAAGAACCTTATTACTTACATTTCCCCGGCTATTAAATGGTGATAAAGACATTGGCAAGAAGGCACGCAAACATGTAACTCCATCTAATGGCTTAAATTTTGGGGCTGTATCAAATTTTCCTCTCATATACGACCAATGGCGAACTCTTTTAGGAACTTCATGTGAGTTTTCCTGATCCAATCTAAAACAAAATTTTCTAGACAAAGACATAGCCAAGTCATTGATGAGATCATGCATAGTGAATTTTGGTTGATCCAATCTTGATCTTTGAAATAGTGATCGCGATAACAGTTCATCAAAGTATCTTTCACCAACCTCTTCCATTGCTTTCTCGCTCTCTGGTTGTGGAATTAAACCTTCTGCCACCCATAATAGAATTACATTTTCCTTATCAAATTCATAGTCCTTCGGGAAAATTGAGCAATAAGCAAAGCATCGTTTCAAGTAAGTTGGAAGATAATGGTAACTCAATTTTAGAGAAGGAAGAACACTATTAGCGTGTGGTAGATCCCAAAGATTGCTATCCAATATGTGATTCCATTCCTATAGTCTAGGTTACAACCTAAGAGACCCCCTAGTGTTTTTGAAGCTAAAGGCAAACCACTGCATTTACGTGCAATTTTCTTACCAACTTCTTCCAAGTCTGGATGTGCACTGGGGTTTTCATTTCTAAATGCATGTTTTTTCAGTAGCAACCAACAATCCTCCTCCGACAATTTTTCTAAGTCGTGAATTGGAATGGTATTGTGCACGATGGATGCAACACGTTTACTCCTTGTTGTTACAATGACCTTGCTTCCCTTCGCCCCATACGTGAAAAGAGTTCGTATCCGATCCCAATCACCATAGCTTTCATTCCAAAGGTCATCCAGGACAAATAAAAATGTCTTTCCCCTTACTTGTTCCCTTAGTCGAATTTCAAGGGAATTCATATCTGAGATATCACAAGATTTCTCGGTGATTTGCTCAATAAGGGTCTTAATCACCCTCAAAGCATCGTACTGTTCGGAAACACAAACCCAAGCATTCATATCAAAGTGCTCTTTAACTTGTTCATCATTGTAAAGGACTTGAGCAAGAGTTGTCTTACCAACCCCACCCATTCCGACTATAGGGACTACAGAAAAATTATTGCTACCTTCATTGTCAGATAGCAGCAGTAGAGCTTTTAACTTTTTTTTGTCTCCATCCCTACCATAGGTACAAAATCCTTCCTCAACAACAGAAGTTGTGGGATTTCTTTGTGAAACCTTGCCCCCAACACCTCCTCTAAGACCGAGGATATCCTTTTGTTTTGCAAGGTGTTCCAACTTGTTGAATAAATTTTCTAATCTATCATTCAAGCCTTTATAATTAAAAGGATTCAGAGAGGTAGAAAGGATGTTCCACACCTGGGTTGTCCCAGTCTGATCTTTCGCCTTGTGATGCAAAGCTTCAGTATCAATCTCATCCACCAAGTCCTCGGCATCGAACACAGCATCTTTGAGCTCGTCAAGCCACATCTCGACGGCAGGGTTGACAATCTGCTTCTCCTCTGCATCGTTGAGCACTGCATGGAGGGTCATCAACGTCACCTTCAGTCTGTCCACGAGTGAATGGTTGAATCTTCTTGCCCGGAAGAAGTCCATGAACTCTCTGGAGGCAATCTTGTGGCATATCACCTGGATTGAACCGGAGAGTAAAGCCTCTCCAACCAAAGCCATTTTCTCTTCTTAGCAAAAAGACTAATTTTGATGGAGAACTTGAAGTTGAAAAACTGGAAATTCTTGTGAAATTCAAGTAAGGAACTAGCAACGCCTGCAGGATTATATATCTTAATTTTACATCGTAATCAGTAGTGACACGACTTGGATGGACATGTGTCTTGGCGTGTGGGGTGAAATTTCCAAAGGAGTACAAAAGGGTGTAGAAAATGCGTCGGAGGGATGACATTTTCCTTTTCTTGTGAATCAAAAGTATGGAATAGGAAAACATATTTAGTGGTAAAACGTAATGTGTCGGTTGGATGACGTTGGATTTTTGCGCCATATTCAACGGTTTGGTTCTCCGGGTCAATTCCACAACTCTATATATAAAAGAGGTTACCGATTTCATGTACAGTATGATACGTGTTGACATCTTGAGCATCAACACCTTGAGCATTAATATATATATATATATATATATATATATATATATATTCTTTTCTTTTCAAATCTCTCTTTTAATTTTTTCTTTTTTTTTGCAAATTTATGTAGCCACTTTGTTGAAATATCTCACATCAGCAGAATGAGAGAGAAATAAAATATTTTAAACATATTAATTCCATTTTAATTAATAATGAAACCTGATACCTGTCGGATTATGCATATAGTAGTTAACAAGTTAAAGATAATATTGATGTTATTGAAAGTGAGCATTTGATTAATCTCTCTAATAATTGGACATTGCATTAGAGAGTTTCTCTTCGACAGGATTAATTGGATGTCGTTAAATTGCATTACTACACAAATTTTGTCGAGAAAAGTGTATATAATAAACTTTCATTTGATTTTATAAAAACAAAATTTCTGGTATATCAATAAAATGGCAAAGTTGTAACTTGATCCAAGATTCTGTGATTTTTGTTGTCAAATCAGAGCTTTTTTGTTTGACTAGCTCTTTAAGTATCATTTGTATAAAGAAAAATATTTGATAAACAACAGATGGACAATCATTAACATAATCAATTTTTTTTAGGAAATTAATTTAATCAAATTAATAAAGAAATTCAAGAAGTCATCAACTGCTCATTTAACTAGTTTTTAGTTGCTACCATAGTCAGAAACTAGTGACGGCTGTACGACCACCACGCGGGTCAACTGTCCTTCACATCTCTCACCTCCGAATCTTCTTTGCAAGGATCTCGAGATCCGTAAATCATGGATATTAATCATATATCGTGCAGTAAGTTTTCATCAGGTACTGTTTGTAACGACCCGTTCCTAAATTTTAAAGTTTTTATAATTTTAATATGTGAATTTACGAAAATGCCGTTCGAGATAAAAACGCTAACTTTTGTTGACCATATTGTTGTGTCACGTAAGATTCATTCCCTTGGTGTAGCATCGTAGTACTCGTTGTTACGAATGCGTAGGCACAAGTGGAAGTGAAGTTGGAGCTAAAACAAAGATTTTACGGAACTCAGAACAATAAGGGTATTTTGGTAATTTTATAATTGGAGATATTTCCCTATCATGAACCACTGGCGAGCTGACACGTGGCAGATCTTTCCCCCCCCCAGATCTCATGGAATCCCTCTCCCTTCTCTCCCGGACTTCTCCTTCTCTCTCTCGAGCTCTCTCTCTCTTCTCCTCCTTCACTGTGCCACACCCATAACCCATATCCTAAAATCATCATCAAAACACATTTTCGACATCACCATCTTCTTTATCTCATCATTACGAACACAACCATAATCTTGGCATCTTAGAAGTCGAACCATGAAGCCTCGTACACGAACTCCGACGCAGGCCGCCAATTTTCGAGCGATCCACAACGAGTTAAGAAAGGTATCATTCTCTTTGTCTCATCGAGAAATATGATTTTCGTTTTTGAATCACCCAATGTCGTTGAGTATTGAAGAAGTTATATCCATTTGAATCTTACCCAGTTTCTGGCGACGTCCGAGGCTTTCGAGCCATTTTTCGACCAAATTACGGCGATTTAGCCGTCAAGGAGGGTACCAATCTGTTCGTCTCGTTTTGAGGTACGATTTTTGTTTTTGAATCACTTGATTTCGTTGAGTATTGACAAAGTTATGGACGTTTAAAGTTTGTCCAGTTTTTCCGGCCAAAAAACCCAGTTTTCCGGCGAACCCGTAGGCCATTTTTCGGCCAACTCCGGCCAGGGTTGAGGAAACTAAAGGTATATTCCGATTCCTTGTTCTTTGGGCTTCAATTTGATATATTGAATGACTAGTTTTGGTTAAGATTTAAGGTCGATTACTGATGTTTATTTTTGGATGTCTTGTGGCATGGGAAATTTTGATGTTTATTTTTGATGTTTAAGGGAAATTTTGTCATAATTCCACGCAAATAAAAAAAATTTGGTAACAGGTTGGATCCTTGTCTCGTATGAAAAATGATGTAGGAACAGAGAAAATATTCCCGACCATAGTAATAACTTAGCTTGCACCCCTGAGCAGCATGATATATTTTTTGTACTGACTGAATGGATATTCACATCTGAGCAGATAATCCCCTTGTCCCCAGCATTGCCCGTTTCTACTTGGAAGATAAAGCTAAATATGATGAGCTTGCTTCTGAGTGGACGCTGCGATTTGCTAAGTGATTTTACCTGGGATCTTCTTATATCGTTGCAAATAGTCAGGAAGGACGTTATGTTATGAACTGAACACTGTGAGCTAGCGTGTTATGTACGCAACGGGTTTGATACCAAGCATGAATGTACCAGCTGAATTTTTTGTGGACCGATCGTTGAATAACCGAAAACCATGCTCAAAGGAAAATGCTTGTAATATATCCTCCGTATGAGATCAATATCATATGTAATATATCCCTATTGCTTGATTTGATGCTCTACTAATGACACGTCTCGATTCAGATATTCCCCGAATACCAAGATAGGCATGCGCTGCCCGATACTTGAGGGTGACGAAAGCCATTTATTGAGTGCAAATGCTGAAAGCAAGGGGTAGATAAGACTTATAAATATAAAAGAATAATGAATATGCATTTAAGGAACGTTTTCAGAGTATAAAACTAACTAGAACACTAAAAGAAATATTATAAAATTGAATGAAACAAAGGATGAATCCTACACCAAGATGACTCGAAGATGCTGATGCGGAAGTGCTTGGACGCCAGGATTGTATGCCTCGATTCTAAGTCCTGAAGAGAGCGCAAAACAAACATGAGTGTACCAAATTGGTATATGTACATATAATAAAACAGTTATCAACGTACTAACTCTCAGGTTTTATGAAAACACATATATATCATGATAAATAGAGGTTTTCCGAAACCTAGCATGCCGTGCAATGTCTCAAATCATAACTTGTATTTATAATAATCACTAGTGAATATTCGATAACCCCCAGGCCCCATGCCGGCTTCCCGTCTCTGAGCAGATAGTCAGAGGAAAATACACTTCAGACCTCATGCCGGCTCCCCGTCCCTGTGCTAAATAGCCAGAGGAAACACACTCCAGGCCCTATGCCAACACCAAACTGTCACCCGAGACGGACCAGATCTATCCCTACGTCCTGTAGTGGAAAAGACTATTAGGTAAGTACAAAATCAGTGAACATACATATATTGAAAAGCAACTTCATAGTATAAAGTCATTCATCATCTATACTATAAAGAGGTGTTCTAAACATGTTCTAAATATCATATCGTCATCCATCGGATATTCTATAAGAACACAGGTTATAGGAAAAATAGTATTAATTCAAACTAGCCTCAGTAAACATGTTATCTCATAAAACCTTTTATAAAATATAGTCATCAAATCATGCTTTTCATGTATGCATTTCTACTATCAAAACATGCATTTTTGAAGAGATCCACTCACAGTACTTAGTTGTTGAAGAGCCACGTAATTACCGAAGATGGAAACGCCACAATTAATTATCCCTAAGCACATAAAGGGTACATTTAGTCAAACTCTACTTAAACGATTGAATTTGGAAAAACGGACATCGGAAACGCACGAAACAAAAAAGTCAACGTTGACCGTTGACCGGACAGACCGGGTCAAGGTCAACGGGTACGGGTCAACGGGTCAAATCAGGTCAACCGGGTTTGGGCTTAGGGTTGGATCCGGGTTGGGCCTAAAGGGTTTGGGTCCAATAGGGTTTAGGGTTTAAAGGGTATTGGGCTTGAAAGCCCGGTCAAATTAAAAGGGTTTTGGGTTTGAATAAAAAGTGATTTGGGTTGGGCTTCACGAAACTTGGGCCTCCAGACATTTGGGCTCTGGGTTCAGGTCAAATGGGCTGGGTAACCCGGCCCAAAGGCCTGGGTTGAGGCTGGTTTTCAGGCCACCCTTTGGCCGGTTTCTGGGTTGACTTTAAACGTCCATAACTTCTTCGTTACTCAACCAAATCAAGTGATTTAAAAAAGAAAGTTGTAGTACTCAGCGAGAAGAAGAGATTGATACCTTGCACGCCGGCCAACTCGCCGTGGTTTGGCTGGAAATTGCCTCGAAAGCAGCGGTGCTCGCCCGAAAATTTGGAAAAGCTACTCCGAGCTATTTTCTGCGATTTAAACGTATACAAAACTTAAAACAAGCTTCGATCTAATCCTAAAACACATCCCAAAGGTTTCTAGAAGCTTACCAACGTCGGAAAGACACGAAACACATTGGAGAAGATGATGAACAATACCGGCCGAAAGGAAGAGAAGGGTTTGTGGTGTTCTTTCTTTGAATCTTAGTTCGCATGGGTGATGGTGATAGTGTTTTGTTGTTGTTGTGGTGATTGATGATGAGGGAGATGAGGGTGTGCAGGGAGGGAGGACACGGGCGAGAGGGAGAGAGAGTGAAAGAGAGTGATAAGGGAGAGTGAGGAAGAATAGAAAACTGAGAGAAAAGGGAGAGAGAGATACCGGGGACACAAATCAGGGGTGGGCCCCTTGGGCACACCAATTAAGACCCAAAACCATTTTTAAAAGGAAAATATCCTTCAAACTTAATGCAAATACAAAAATATTCTTTTTCTTCAGTAAATTTCGGGACATGTTGTTACAACTAAGTTTACATGGTGCATGCTGCCGGGATTGTAAGTTTCTTGTAAGACCTTCGTACTCACCTGTTTCTCTCTCTTATGAAGAAGTCATGTAGGAACATTGAGAAGAAGCAGTTTTAAGTACAAGATTTAAAACAAACCGGTTCAAAGTTCCGACTTTGATTTGCATCAATGAAAATTGCAAGGAATGTGAGCTATCTTGGCTCAATCTTTTCCATTCATATTCTCTGCACGCCTCTTGTTCAAAGAAGAACAAACTGTTATAATTATGACTCTCCTTTGGATCTTGCTCTTTGATGTATCCGGCAAATACACTAAACTTAGCAAATTAGAGAATAACTAAAAACACATAAGATTTATACTGGTTCGGCATAACTTTTGTCTACGTCCAGTTGTGATTTCTCTGGATAGAGAAACAATGGCTTCTTTGATTAATAATAAAGTTACAATACTTTTGCAAAACCTAGAACTAATCTCTCTTTGTCCCTCTCAGCTGTCTCTGGCTTTTCTCACGTGCCGGCGTCTGTTTCTGGCTTTCCACCAAGCTTTCCCTAGCCTTGCCACACCCTATATATAAGTATAGGGTGTGGTTTACATGCCTATTTTCTGATTTTCCTATTCTATATGTAAATGGAAAGTACACTTTCTTTCCTTTTTCCAATGATCTCCTAGGATTTCCAATCTAATTGTACAAGGAGACTTTTATTCTTTCTAGTCCTTTTAAGAGAAGAATCGTGCACCTTTAATTTCCCTAATATGATCCTAAACAAGAAAGAACACTAACTTTGACGAGCCAAAATCCTGACACAAACATTTTGGCGATCCTCAGAAAAGAAAGAGACAGGCGGCAAATCCTCTTCTAGCAGGAGCGCAAGACAATCGACGATGCATAGCTGTTGAAGAGAGCCTAGTTGTTGAGGTCCTTCTCCGGGCAGGGATTCGAGAGTGCCAGGTGTTTTGATCCAAAGATTTCAAACTTGTTAATCCAGATGGTGAGTGGTGGAGAGCAGCTTTTGTTTGAGCAATGTCTCCAACCGAATCTTAAATTCTCCACTGTTAAAAAACACAGATATTATAAATGCAAATCTAGACAAGCAAAATGAAAAAAAGCAAAGGAAAAGGAAGGTACAGTACAATTTACGAATCATCACTGTTCAACCGTAGATGTAATCTTTCGGTAAAATCTGTAGCAGAACAACCAGCCTCCTTGTACTGGCACTGGCATTGGCATTCATCCAAACACAGTTAAGTGTCGAACTTTGAAGACAACCAATTATATAGGAAAATACAATCAATTTAACATTAACTACAGATAAGTGGTGCGAAATACGTACACATGTACCAGACTTGTCTTGAGAGTTGAGAGTGAAAAAGGAACGATGAACCCCAACTGAAGAGTCTCTTTTCCCAGCTAACATGAACCCCTAACTGATTAGCAATTTTACTGCGACGATGTACGTGAAGCACTACAACGGTTCAGAGTTGTTGCGTACCAAGAAAGTTTCTAAACATGAAGGCCTGCTCCAAACCGTTCTCCATCAAAATTTGGTAAAGAAGTATCATCCGTTTCTCCACTGCATCTTCCTCTGGAGCTGTTAATGAATAAGATGATCGCCTATGCTGCGAGTGACTCTGCAATGTTTCTACGCAAATTCAAGTCAAGTCATGCGTAAGTCATCACACACACACACACACACATATCGGAACTAACCTATGCACAACCTTGTTGGTCTCCCATCTCCCTCGCAAGCACAATGAACAATTGCATTAGAGCGTAGCCTTGCCATCATGAAATATATTAGACCAAACACACAATAATCCTGCTCCTTTTGTCGCAGAGCCGCCAAAGCTAGAGTGGAATCACTCTCCACTTCCACAGCAGCTGCCCCCAAATCAGCCACCATTTGCATCCCGTGACGTGATGTAGTGCCTTGGCCTCGATGTGTAGAGGGGACTGAACCCCGACGCACTTGGCTGAACAGGTACCAATCAGAAAAACTAAAACCAATCAAGAGAAACAATCAATGGACCAGGTACCAATTAGAAAAACTAAAACCAATCAGGAGAAACAATCAATGGACCCCTTGGCGATTAGAATTTGCTGGTGCTTTTTTTCTTTTGTTAACTTGCCATGCGTGTCACACGACCCCACACGCTAATATATTGAAAACAAACCTCCAAGTCCAGATGCAACTTTGAATATTCTCGTGATTGCTCATGAAATCCGCAATGGTGAGAAGAATGCTATAATCTCTTTCTTCCTTTGGTTCGCTAACAGGAGATAAGATGTTCATACGCGGCCAGCAACAATAGGCACAAGTTCAGATAAAAACATGTGATATTTTCCTTTAAGGAGTATGGGGATGCAGAGTTTTGATGCAAATGTAGGAAAAGAACGCAGAGCTTTACCTTCACATGCTTTGTACCATTGCTACAATCTAAATCGAACTGTGAAGTGTGAAGGCTATGTTTAATAACCATTGGTTCGGAACACCAACTGGCAAAGGTGAGTTGGAGTTCCCGGCATCTCGAAATTTTTTTTCACGTTGGACGGTCTCAGTGATTACTTTTATTGATTTTAAATCTCGGATCAAAATAAAAAATTATGCCAATCTTATATGGATCATTTTGGCTCAAAAGTCAAGAAAAATTGAAAAATGGTATATATGTGTAGTGTAAAACACAATGCAAGAACGTAGCAATGCTCATTTTGTTTAACAAAGTATGAGTTGGAGTGGACAGTAATTAAGCACCACGTATCAATATGGTCCACATAAATATTAAAAAAATTACCAATTTAAAAAAAATTAAAAATTAAAAAAATAAACAAACAAAAATA